CATGTGCGCGTTCGTGTGTGTTGGAGGAGGGGCTCTGTAAGGAAGTGGCAGATTTTCTCTGGTTGTGTATTTTCAAATTCTAGCGCACTCGAGCTGGTTTCTCCAAAATTACCTACCCCACCTTTAAGTTAGCAAAATCAATCAAATGCAGGTCAACGATTCTTGATAGTTCAATATGCTTTAAGAAACATCTCAGCTCTCCAGAGGATTTACTTTATTGTGTTAAAGCTCATCCCTTAAAACAGCCTCAGATTTCTTATAATAAGTCAAGTCAAGTTTGAAAGTGAGAAAAGGAGGGGTCCCAATATGGAGCCCTGAGGCACCCCACAGCTCATAATAAGGGGACATATGAAGGGTCTATTTCAAGCTTGTTATGCGAATACGTTGTTGGGCTTTTTGTTATCAACTAAGATTTGTTAGAACATTTTAATTGACTTCATTTAATGAAAACGTGGCTTATTAACACATGAATACTGTGTGATATACTTCTACACATATATTTAAGAAGAACATTATAAGTCAAGTACACGTTTCAGGTGTGGGCCAGACTCCATTATACTTTTAGAATATGCTGAGGTCCAATTTAAAATGGACCATGGGCCACAGTTTGGACACCCCTGATGTAGGGTATTCAAGCCCTTACACGATCACTCAAAATCTAAATTATAATAAACATAGCGTACTTACTCACTCCGTGTATTTTTTTGGAAGAAACGGAAAATATGTAACATGTAATATTTCCATCTTCCAGTGGAGCAGACTGAAGACTTCTCTTTTTGTTGCTGCTTTTAATTGAACTATTCATATCTCACCTTGGCTAAGCTTTCCTTTTTCTCTTTAGTTGTAATCATTTTTTAAAGTTGTAAGGGCTTAACTTTGTTATTCAACTCCTATTTTGCAGAGTTTTAAGAGATTAACGTCCTGTTATTTAACACTTATAAAGCTCCGTCAGATTTTAAAGGTCCCCTATTATACTGTTCTTCATCAATATATCACAGGTCTCACATATATCCAGAGCCTGTCTCTGATTGGCTGAAACACTAAACAGATCATTGCAGCATTACCCATAATCCCCTCTGTTTCAGCCCTGTTTCCAAAGTGCTGATTCTCTGTCTGTTACTTCAGATGAAAATAAGGAGCCACTCCCCACGCCCCTCTGAGATATTTGGTTAAAAATAACTCAATAGCTGCGTTCACACCGCAGTACTTAGTTCCCAGCTCTTAGTTCCCCCATGGAACTAAGAGCCGATCGCGTTCACACCGGAATAAGTCCCTGAGGGAGGATTAGGCAAATGAAGCCGCTGACGTCACTTCTTCTTCTTCTGCTTTGGGTTTACTGGCAGGCCGCAAACAACTTCACGGTGTATACTGCCTACTATACAGAACTGGGGCACTTTTTCCCCCCCCAGGAGAGTACCACCTCTCAGCAGGCACTAAAAATGGGGGTAAAAGTTCCCGGCACTAAGTACTCTTTTTGGTGTGAACGCGACATAAGGGGTACTAACGGAACTAAACGCGAAAAGTACGGGGAAAAGTACTCTGGTGTGAACGCGCCAGTTTACTTGATGATGTCATAATCATCATCAAGTGGCCAAAATCTGATCAGCTCATTTTCAGACAGGTTTTTATAGAAATGGATCAGGACAAAAAGAGAGAGAATCTTTGTTCCTGAAACTTTCAGAGTCTCTTTCCACAGAGGGGACACATGTTGATGAAGAAGAGACATGAAGAAGAGGGGACACATGTTGATGAAGAAGAGACATGAAGAAGAGGGGACACATGTTGATGTAGAAGAGACATGAAGAAGAGGGGACACATGTTGATGTCGAAGAGACATGAAGAAGAGGGGACACATGTTGATGTAGAAGAGACATGAAGAAGTGGATTTTGCATAATAGGTGACCTTTAAAGTGAATAAAACCCATCATTCTCCTTCCTGCTGGAGACATGATAATAAACCTGGTGTTTAGTCAGAGTGTGATGCAGAGGATAATCCTGTAAGAGCTGCTTGTGAAATCTCCGTTTAGTCAGCGCCGGTGAGGAAACGCTGCAGACTTTAGTAATAACACCTGAGCGTTACAGCAGGTAAATCCTTATCATGAGGCACCCTGACACACCCAGAGATAAAACTGAAGTAAACCCGCTCTGTTCTCCATGAGTTAATGTGCTTTATGTTTGAGGATTATTTTATCTCAATGTGATCTCTCACAGCCTACAAAATATGTTCTTCTTTAAAACCTTCTTTAACGCAAATCTGAGAGAAAACTAAATATATGTTGTTGGTTTCTGTGACGTTAGTGTGAAAGGCATTAGTAAATGTTTTAAAAATAAATGCTATTATTTATTTGGAGATTTTAGATGAAAAAGGTTAATAAAATCCTACTAAACTTTGTTAAGGACTTTTAAAAGATTTAAAGACAACATTTGAATAGCATTTAAAGGCTTTTTTTAATCGAATGAATGCTCGGCAGTCAGCTACTAGTGCCTGTTTTTTTTAAACATGTCCACAATAACCCATCAGACTCTTATCTGACAGGAAACAGGCTGAACTGTGAGTGACACTTCATAAATGTCAGGAAATGTAAAAAAAAAAAATTCTAGTCTAAAAAAAAACATGCCGTTTTTTCTTCTGATAATAAGTTATCTGACTGCTTCAGAAGTTCTTTTGAAATTCCAAGTATTTCTACAAAACTTTTACTAAAAATCCAACAGAACAAATAAAGAGTCCTCTCCTGCTGATGTTCAGGTGTATATCAGTATGTAGTGTCTCTACTTTAAAGAGTCCTCTCCTGCTGATGTTCAGGTGTATATCAGTATGTAGTGTCTCTACTTTAAAGAGTCCTCTCCTGCTGATGTTCAGGTGTATATCAGTATGTAGTGTCTCTACTTTAAAGAGTCCTCCCCTGCTGATGTTCAGGTGTATATCAGTGTGTAGTGTCTCTACTTTAAAGAGTCCTCTCCTGCTGATGTTCAGGTGTATATCAGTATGTAGTGTCTCTACTTTAAAGAGTCCTCTCCTGGTGATGTTCAGGTGTATATCAGTATGTAGTGTCTCTACTTTAAAGAGTCCTCTCCTGCTGATGTTCAGGTGTATATCAGTATGTAGTGTCTCTACTTTAAAGAGTCCTCTCCTGCTGATGTTCAGGTGTGTATCAGTATGTAGTGTCTCTACTTTAAAGAGTCCTCTCCTGCTGATGTTCAGGTGTATATCAGTATGTAGTGTCTCTACTTTAAAGAGTCCTCTCCTGCTGATGTTCAGGTGTATATCAGTATGTAGTGTCTCTACTTTAAAGAGTCCTCTCCTGCTGATGTTCAGGTGTGTATCAGTATGTAGTGTCTCTACTTTAAAGAGTCCTCTCCTGCTGATGTTCAGGTGTATATCAGTATGTAGTGTCTCTACTTTAAAGAGTCCTCTCCTGCTGATGTTCAGGTGTATATCAGTATGTAGTGTCTCTACTTTAAAGAGTCCTCTCCTGCTGATGTTCAGGTGTGTATCAGTATGTAGTGTCTCTACTTTAAAGAGTCCTCTCCTGCTGATGTTCAGGTGTATATCAGTATGTAGTGTCTCTACTTTAAAGAGTCCTCTCCTGCTGATGTTCAGGAGTATATCAGTATGTAGTGTCTCTACTTTAAAGAGTCCTCTCCTGCTGATGTTCAGGTGTATATCAGTATGTAGTGTCTCTACTTTAAAGAGTCCTCTCCTGCTGATGTTCAGGTGTATATCAGTATGTAGTGTCTCTACTTTAAAGAGTCCTCTCCTGCTGATGTTCAGGTGTATATCAGTATGTAGTGTCTCTACTTTAAAGAGTCCTCTCCTGCTGATGTTCAGGTGTGTATCAGTATGTAGTGTCTCTACTTTAAAGAGTCCTCTCCTGCTGATGTTCAGGTGTATATCAGTATGTAGTGTCTCTACTTTAAAGAGTCCTCTCCTGGTGATGTTCCAAAAGCTATTTATTTCTGTCATACTGCCTGTGCTGCAGCCAATAGGAGCGCAAATGTTCAGGAAGTAAACAAAGGAGTACCCTTTGCAGACCATTTACATGCACTAACACCTACAGAACCCACTAGAGAGGAAACACCACAGAAAGCAGAATACACCCCCTTTAAGTACAGTATAACCAGATAAAGGTATTAATATCTCCAGTTAAACAGTGAAGACTCCTCGTGTCTCTATAATAGTTGTTGTTTTGGTATTAATAACTATCCTTTAGTTTGACACAGATACAGCAGCAGAGTTCAGGGCAGACGAGTCCACACACACCTCCTGCCTCACACACATTCCTCAGTGTGTCCCGACACGAGACAAGCGCTGCACCTTATTATCCATCAAGAACACACACACACACACACACACACACACACACACACACACACACACACACACACACACACACACACACACACACACACACACACACACACACACACACACACACACACACACACACACACACACACACACACACACACACACACACACACACACACACACACACACACACACACACACACACACACACACACACACACACCACACACACACACACACACACACACACACACACACACACACACACCACACCCACACACACACACACACACCACACACACACACACACACACACACACACACACACACACACACACACACACACACACACACACACACACACACACACACACACACACACACACACACACACACACACACACACACACACACACTTTCTGAAGACTCTGAACAAAGCTTCCACACTTTGAGAAACAGCATCTCAGACCCCCAGGTACACACACCTGTCGTCCTCGCTGTGGAGGTCATTTCAATGTTTCTCTACACACACTGAAGACAGAGCATCTGGTCACTGGACACACGCGTTAAGCTCCTGTGATTTCCATCTATCCATCCATCCATCTATCTATCTTTGTATATCTAACATACTAAATTGAGTATTGGGGGGGTCCTGGTGTTTCTGCAGGAGTTACTCTGGAGTTTGTGTTACCTGTGTTGTCAAACTGCAGCTGCTGGCAGGAGGCGTGGTTCCAGGGACAGGTGTACACCGCCCCCCCCTCCACCACTGCACTGCTGGAGGGAGAGGAGGCGTTGGCCCGGGGAGCCCCGACCAGGATGTCTGACCTGGGGGGGGGGGGGGACAAAGATCCCAGTTAGACATGGAGATAAGGCTGCAAATTGAGTGGTGAAGGGATTTGTAGGCCGACCCGGAAGTAAGCTGCGCATTCGGTTCCATCCATCATATATCTATCGATTAGATCTATGATTCGAAAATGATCAAAGTAGAGTAGACATGTGGAGATTATCCGGCTGAACAAAACGTGCATTTATCAAACAGGTTCGTTTTCCACAGATCTTATTTTTTTACAATATTCCAAAATCCTCTGGAGAAATCCCGTTGCTGTTTTGTCGAGGGAACCAGCAGCTTCCTTCCGGGTAAATACGTCATCCCTGCACCGCTCTATAGAAGTACCTGTGAAGCAGCCAACATAAAAAAATATAAAACAGAAATAGAACTTAAAACAAAGTGCTGCTGAGGCACCCGTCAGCGAATATTACGCATTAATTAAAGGCCCGGGCAAAAGTCATTTTTGTGCATTTAATTGTTCTTGATGCCAGATCATATAATAGTTTCTTGTCTATTTTCTTGCCTCGTGCAAGTCAGTTCGTGAAATGCCTTCTCTCCTAGATATTCCACGATCAACTGTAAGTGGTATTATTGCAAAGTGGAAACGTTTAGGAACCACAGCAGCTCAGCCACAGACACTCCAACATCTTGTAGAAAGCCTTTCCAGAAGAGTGGAAGCTGTTACAGCTGCAAAGAGGGACCAACTTCATAGTAATGCCTAAGAATCTGGAATGTCTATAATATTTGACTTTATGATCAATTCAACTTGTCAAGATCTAGACATTATTTTACATTCATTTCCACATCTGTCCCTATCATTTGTGTCCACTTTAAATGTCTTCTCCATGATGGTATGTTTGTGTCTTTATCTTGTTTTTACCTCTTAGAATATTTAACAAAGTGTACGGTGTCCTTGGGTGTCATGAAAGGCGCCTTAAATAAAAATGTATTATTATTATCTGTGCATTAATCCTGACTCACCACCATACCAACTAAAGTGGGAACCAATGAGGAAGAAGGTTCAGTCTTGTCTTGTAAATATATAACATTTATAAAAAATGCATGAAAATTATGACGGTGATGGTTTTGGCCTCGGGGGTGACTTTGCATAGTGTCAACATGACAAGAAGACATGACTAAGACATGACTAAGACATGACTAAGCCTGACAAGGAACATTTACAAAATATATTATAGCTAAACGTTTTAATGTTAAGCTAACAGTGAGTGCACATTTCAAACGTAAACAAGCGGGGATTTGAGTGAATGATGACTTCATATTGGGCTTCCCTTTCCTTTATCAGCCATGAGTAACTGTATTGGGAATGTCAAGGGGTTATCTTTGACACATCAGAAATCTAGAAAATGTTCGTGTTTCCTCGCAGACTGAAGCAGAACTTCTCCTGACAGCTCAGTTGCAAAGCAAAACGTGTTTAAAGGACTTGTTGCTTTTATTTAAAGACTGGAAGGTTATTTTCATGCTGCTGTTAATCTGGAGATCAACAGACACTAGCAGCCCGCGCATATGATTATATAATCAGACAACGTCCGATAAAAAACATTATAACACATAATGAGAGACGTTCTGCAGTAAGGAGGGCCGCTTCACCGACGACAGGTGGCTCTTACTTTTATGTATAGTTGACGGAGCATTTTTACTTTACACGTCACTGTTCAACACTTCATTCTGCTTCACTCGCGGATGTCTTCAAAATCTTTAGCGAAAGAGTCTTTCGCTAAAGATTTGGAAGACATCCGCGTTCTTGTGACTCGTAAATACTACGCTTCCTATGTTTTGGTGCGGACTGCGTTCACACCAGCGATGAACCGCTCCAGAGTTCACTAGCAAGCGCTCCGAGACCACCTCTTTAGGCGGACCAGAGTCCGGTTGTTTAGTTCACTTAAGAGGTCTCGGACTGTGTTCACACCGACCCAAACGAACCGCACCAGGGTTCGATTCAACCGGACTATACAAGGCTGGTGTGAATGCGACTTAATTTGTGTTTTTCTGAGTGCAACTCATAAAAGCATGGAGAAAAGTCCTCAAACTAAATCAACTTTATATTTCTTTAAGGCTGACACTGCAAGGTATTTTATTTCTTGCATTATTTGTTGTGATATTAATTTCATTTCAAGATGAGAACTGAGTTCCTGTTTTCGTTCACCATCCTCAGAAACACTGACCAAAACGCACCTTTCAGACCAGCTTTTAACATGCGATTGATGTATTTTAAAATCAGACTTTTTATCTTATATCGTTTTTTTACCTCCGTAGAGCACATGTTAAAGCGCTTGATAAATAAAATGTATTATTATTATGATGATTGCTAGCGTAGCAGCACTTTTTTCTTTCATTTTAATCTGTGCACATCAACACATAACATGACGCAGCTGCATGGAGGGTTTAGGACTGAGGCTTCCTTTTGTTTGGTTTCACCGCAGGACGCTGGGACTTGTAATCATGTGTTGAAATAGAAACGTAACTAAAGTCAGTGATGAGCATCAGGGAACAACATCTCTTCTACAGAATAGCTGCGGAAGAAATGTTTCACGGCGTCTAATAATAGGGAGAAATAAAGCAGAGAATATGTAATGAAGGAGTTATTAAAGAGCATGTGTCGCCTGTTGGGTTATCCATGAAACAGATACTCAGGACAGGAGAACAGGAAAACTGCAGACTCATCTCATAATGATACCAAATGATTCAGTAAGGATCCAAAAAACTAGGCGACACACCTTTATTAGGAAACCTGGATCAGTCGTCTGTGAACACACACCTTTGTATAACCTCAGGCTCCATTCAATCTGTTTTTATGGCTCTGTGTCTGAGACGCTGAGAGCTGCGGTTTGATTTGAAAGAGGCTCTGTTCTTCTTCTGTGGTGTTCCCTCTCCTGTAGGGCTTTCTATAGGTGTTAGTGCATGTCAATGGTCTGCAGAGGATAAAATCACTGTGTCCGTTAGTTTGATAAGGGCATTTTAATACCAATACAAATCGAGTACTTTTTCAGGCCTTTTACATGTTACCGAGTATTCCTAAACTCTGGCACTTCTACATTTACTTAAGTACACGATCTGAGTACTTCTACTTTTACTCAAGTACACGATATGAGTACTTCTACTTTTACTCAAGTACAAGATATGAGTACTCCTACTTTTACTCAAGTACAAGATCGGTGTACTTCTACTTTTACTCAAGTACAAGATCTGAGCACTTCTACTTTAACTAAAGTACAAGATCTGAGTACTTCTACTTTAACTAAAGTACAAGATCTGAGTACTCCTACTTTTACTCAAGTACAAGATCTGAGTACTTCTACTTTTACTCAAGTACAAGATCTGAGTACTTCTACTTTTACTCAAGTACAAGATCTGAGTACTTCTTCCAGCTCTGCACATAACGAGTTTACCAATTTCCGATACACTGTAGGCTACATGTATCGGAAATATCCCGGAAAATTAAGCAAAGTAAAAGTACTCGGTTTGTGAGTACATTCTACATACTTTTGCTTTTGGTTCTTTACGTGCGTTTTAATACCAATACTTGAGTACTCTGAATTCAGGACTTCTACTCGTAACAAGAGTATTTTCAGAGGGTAGTATTTGTACTTTTACTTCAGTACTTTTACTTCTGAACTCTTACTTGGGGCTGTTGAGGAAGAAGTCCACGGAGAAGCCGAAGTAGCTCCTTTCGGGTCCGGAGAACACGGAGGGTCTCTCGGTCTCCAGGTTGAATCCGGATCCGAGAGGCAGGATCCCGCAGAGTAGAGTGAGGAGAACCGGGAGAACCAGGAGAACCGGGAGACCCGGCCGTCCAGCTGCCGAGGACATGGTGCTGCTGCTGGGGGAGAAACAACCGAGAGAGGAACGGTCAGGAGGAACCAGGCCGCGGGGCGAGGGGCTCTGATGAAGCCGAAAACAGGAGCCTAAACACGGGGAGGAACCGAGGAGAGGCCGCAGTGTGTGGAAGTGTTTTAGTGGAAGTGTTTCAACCAGCTGACGTCAAGTTAGATCAAGAGACTGTACTGTGTCCGGTGTATCCCCTTCAGAATAAATGCACCAATGACGTGTTGGGTTACAATCAAATAAAAAGAAAGGAAACAAAATAAAATAAATAAAATAAATAAAATAAATAAATAAATAAAATAAATAAAATAAATAAAATAAATAAAATAAATAAAATAAATAAAATAAATAAATAAAATAAATAATAATAAATAATAATAAAAATAAATAAAAGCAATTAACATAAAAACAATTAAGAATAACAAATGTATTGTAATTTGTATATGTATGCCCTGTCACTGTAATACGTCCTTAAATGCAAATTAAAAAAGAATAAAATAAAAACATAACATAAATAACATTAAAGTAAAATATAAGTAAATAAAAGTCATAAGTATATTTATATGTGTTGTGTATGCCCTGTAACAATATCATTTCTTAAAATGCAAATACAAAATAAATCAACACAAAGCAAAAATAAAATAGAGAGCCTTTATTCTAGAAACTAAAACCAAATTAGGGACGTAACCCCTCAATTAAAAAGGTTGTCATTCATTCATATTTAACCACACAGCACATATAGCACATATAGCATGCCTTTACTCTGAAGGGGATGTCGGTGTTTACCTGTCTCTGTTTTCTCTTGACGCAGTGCCGTGGATCCCTGACGCACAACAGGAAGTTCATTCCGCTGTGAGCCAATAACAGGAACCTTTATTTTGGAGGGGGGGTTTTATTTTGGAGGGGGTTTTGCTTTGTAGGGGATTTTATTTTTCCTACACAGTTTTGTTTCTGCAGTCATTGTGGGTCATCATCTCATGACAATCACCTGCATGCAGTACTTACATCTACTCCTGTACTGCACTCAAATACACTATTAAGGTACTTGTACTTACTTGTACTACTCCACTACATCTCAAAGATAAATATTGTCAATTTGACTCCACTGCATTTGTTTCATTACTTAGTTTAATTTGCAGATTCGGATTAATAATGGAAAATAGCATGTTTTATAATAGAACTATTAACAATAAATCAAACATGTATTATTCTGTAATAGAAGCCTACTTTTACCTTGAGTAGTGGATCACGAGTCGTTGATCCTGAGTCGTTGATCCTGAGTCATTGATCCTGATTCGTGGATCCTGAGTCGTTGATCCTGAGTCATGGATCCGGAGTCATTGATCCTGAGTCGTGGATCCTGATTCGTGGATCCTGTGTCGTGGATCACGAGTCGTTGATCCTGATTCGTGCATCCTGAGTCGTTGATCCTGTGTCGTTGATCCTGAGTCGTGGACCCTGAGTCGTGAATCCTGAGTCTTGGATCCTGAGTCGTAGATCCTGAGTCGTGGATCCTGAGTCGTTGATCCTGAGTCTGCCTGATATTCACCCTACTACTTCTTTGATGGCCCCCAAAAGTAACTTACTTTTTGTGGTGAGTTACATTTCGCCACTGGTTTCATGTGATTGATACTTAACCTCTTAAAGACGACGGTCCCCCCAGTGGACCCCCCCCCACAGTTTTTTTTTGAGTCTGTGTCTCAGGGCTTCTTAACATTTATGAAACTATTCATGTGTAGCACCAGATTAACGGGAAGAATCTCAGCTAACTGAAGATATGAACCATTTTACCAAAACAAAGGGTAATACCAAGCCTCTGAATTAGCACTAAGCGAAAAAATGCTAACGCACTTTAGCACACAACTCAAGATAAAGATACCCTTATTACTTATCGTAGCTGCACATACAATATATCCGATTAAAGCTGAGACTCCACAGATTATATAGTTATAGTATCATCACTGAGCGATCCGAACTCGCGACAGGGAAAGCAAACACAGACATCACAACACGTACCTTTACGGAGCTTTTACGGGAGATCGTCTCACCGTAGCTGTCAATCTGATCAAAAGACGTGTTCAATGGCATTAAAACGAAAAAAAACGCGGCTGCAACTGTTGATCCATAGGTTGATAATGTACCTGTGCCTTTGAAAAAATTATTTATAATGTATAATTCCATTTTTATGTAAAAATCGGAGAGAGAAAGTTAGCAGCTATGTATGCAGCTTCCGGTTTTGGTCACGCGTCACTCTCACTCCTTATTTGTTAACGTGTTGGTGTGTATATAACTTTCCCTCGATTCCATTGGCTCTAGCGGTTATAAAGAGATTTCATTCATCAAAATCGACCAAGGGGGGCCAGAGATAGGTCAAATCCACCCAAATGACCCCAGAAGTGTTTTTTTTTGCTAAATCTCTCTAAAAATGTCAAATGTCACTTGTTTTGCATCAGTCTTGATACAGGGTACTTATTATATGTTGTACTTTGGATTCCTAAAGCTTTTAGTCTACTAACCCATCATCCAAGGGTAGTTTTCACTATAAGTAAAAAAGAATTTTTGGACGGACACTATCATTTACAGTTTTTTACTATGTTCAATCTGAATTTTCTTTAAAATAAAAAACATCTATATTGATTCTGACTTTTCTACATCCAACTCACAGGTTTATCATTACTTTGAGAATAAAGATTATTAATTTAACCCTTTTAGAAGGGAAGATATGGCCATTTGTTCTGGGAATGTCATTTTCGAGCCTGAGACCTGAAAAACAGGCTCAGTGCTTAAGAGGTTAAATAAAATCTTGACAGTACACATAATACTTTCTGACAAATGGATTAGAAGGTATTTTCAAATGTTTAACACTTCAACAAGTTATATGTTATAATTTGTTACTGTATACAAATGATATGTGTCGATGCTTCCAGCTCAGAAGCCTTTTTTCTTTGTCTATAAACACACCAGCGCTCAGATGAGGTGGAGCCGAGGGGTTTTCGTCTTATTTGGCCATGAACTGCTCTGCATGACGGATACTATGAAGTGTGCACTCAAGAATGTGTGTGGGGGAGGTGGGGGGGGGGGGGTGTACTGTGTGTGTGGTGTAATACATACAGTACAGTGTGCAAATGTTGCAAGACATCAAGATAAACATGGACGCCTGGTGAAAACGCTATGATTTCGTGTTTGTGGGTGTATGTGTGTGTGTGTGTGTGTGTGTGTGTGTGTGTGTGTGTGTGTGTGAGTGTGTGTGTGTGTGTGAGAGTGTGTGTGTTTGTGTGTGTGTGAGTGAGTGTGTGTGTGTGAGTGTGAGTGTGTGTGTGTGTGCGTGCGTGCGTGCGTGCGTGCGTGCGTGCGTGCGTGCGTGCGTGCGTGCGTTCGTGTTACAGAGTGAAAGATGGTGTAATAGGCATAGCTATGCAGATTACGTACCATTTACAGCCGGATGCCTTGTTTTCATGCTGTGTAATAATGCGCTGTGTGTGTGAAGATCTCGTTCTTCTACATTTATGAGGACCATGTTACATTTTGGACCGACTGCGGAGACATTTTTTGAAAACTGTTGACATTTTGGCCGGCCTATATTTTTAAGTTATGCTGCTGATCAGACCTGCTCCAGTTGGAGTTTTGTAGCCTATCATGTGTTTATTTTGTACTGAAAAAAAGGAACCTTGGTAGAAGTAACTAACTATACTCAATTACTGAACAAAAGTACATGTTTTAGGTTTTTATATATATATTTTATATCTTTATTGCCTTGGTGAAGGTAGACTATTCAGCAGTGTAAAAGAAAAAAGAGAAAAAAAGCCATTAAAGCAAAAATAATTAAAATAACATTATACAATATTATTCCTGAATGGGTCATTGTCCAGTATAAGTAGTTTTAAACTTAAGTTAAACTGACATGCAAGACTTTGGGAGATTGTAAAGTTGAAAACACACACAAATCCTGGATAAGCAAAAATCTAAGTTTTTAATTTTGATTTATTTTGTGTTCATTTCATAAAAAAATCAGTAATCTTTTTTATTTTACTATATTTATTTAAAATAATTGGCATGATGAGATGAGAAGGTAATCATTGTTTGAAAATAAAAATGTTGACCCAAGACCACAAGAAAAACGGTCAAGTTTAGTCCTAAAAGTGAATGTCAGCTCTCAGGTTTCAGGCCCCCTTTTTGTTATATTATATTTGGTTATTTAGTGTTGATTCTACTTCTATCATAGATACATTAAAATTGTTAATGCAAAACACTTTCTTTTAAAAACAGCACATTTACACTAAACCTGCATGGAAAGGAAATCAGTGCTGCGATTACCTCTACGGGGTTTAATTATTAGGTCGGTCACAACATTTGCAGAAACATGCAGGAACCAGCAGATGGCAGCAGAAGCAAACAGTTGTTGGGGGGGGGGGGTTCTCTGTGAACTGCTTTAACTGCACACACCTCCACCAGAAGGCTTTATCCATTCATCCATCTTCTCCCGCTTATCCGTGGTCGGGTCGCGGGGGTAGCAGTTCCAGCAGAGAGCCCCAAACTTTCTTTTCCCTCGCCACATCAACCAGCTCTGACTGGGGGATCCCAAGGCGCTCCCAGGCCAGCGAAGAGATATAATCCCTCCACCTGGTCCTAGGTCTACCCCTCGGTCTCTTTCCAGCTGGACGTGCCTGGAACACCTCCCTAGGGAGGCGCCCAGGTGGCATCCTTACTAGGTGCCCGAACCACCTCAACTGGCTCCTTTCTACGCGAAGGAGGAGCGGTTCAACTCCGAGTCCCTCCCGGATGACTGAACCTCTCACCTTATCCCTAAGGGAGACACCAGCCACCCTGCGGAGAAAACCGATCTCGGCCGCTTGTATCCGCGATCTCGTTCTTTCGGTCATGACCCATCCTTCATGACCATAGGTGAGGTAAGCGAATTGTGCCTCCCATGTACAAGGTTAACATTGAAAGTGATGATGATATGTCAAAATGCGTCTCAATGTACATGTTACTCCAGCTGCCTATCAGTTTACTCCACTCAAATGGCGCAAAACTCGCGTTCCATGGACAGACGTGTAATACACTCAAATTACAATAGATGGAGCTCTAGACTAATTTATAAAATTTGTAAAAATGTTGTTAAGTCTGAAAAACACGCTATTATGGATGATAAAT